TACTGCTACTGCTACTGCTACTGCGACTGCGACTGCGACTGCGACTGCGACTGCCACTGCCACTGCCACTACTGCTACTGCTACTGCTACTGCGACTGCGACTGCGACTGCGACTGCGACTGCCACTGCCACTGCCACTGCTACTGCTACTGCTACTGCTACTGCTACTGCTACTGCTGCTGCTGCTGCTGCTGCTGCTACTGCTACTATGCTACTACTGCTACTACTGCTGCTACTACTACCACCACCACCACCACCACCACCACCACGACCATGACGACGACGACGACGACGACGACATTACTACCGTGATGACGATGACGGTTCTTACCATCACTACCACCATCATCGTCAGCATCATCAAGTCATCAACAGCAACGCGATTCCCACCGGAAGTCTCCAGCAGCATCACCATCCTTCTTCGCAAAGTCGAAGTCTTTACATTGTGGCTTGTATAGATGATGCAGAGTATACAGGGCCGGAGCGATGTAGGTTTGGGGTGATTCCGACCCGGCAGGAGTATCTGTCTTCTTTCTGCCTCCCACCTAGCTAGGACATACTCTGTCTTGGTGTTTAGGGTTTGACGTGGGCTGGAAGGTTATGTGAATCTGAGTTTTGTCTTGGATACGTTCTGGTATTCAGACCGGCTTTAGCATACTGCCGCTGCAAACATGCATGCTTGCAAGGGAACACAACTTCCCAACCGCTTCCGTTTTTAAGCACGGACTTGCAGTGTATGCCAGCAGCGAAGCTCGAGGGCAAAGCCTTCCCGCAACCGCTTCCTAAACCCCAAACCTCCGTACGTATCAAAGTGTTGGTCTCTAGCTGTTGCCCGGGATGTACCCCATACCTTCCGGTCTCTAGGATTTAGCATCTGAAAGGGTCTGCCAGCCCATGGCTCTGCGGCATACCAGGACGATTGCTCACATCAACGGGCGGACAGGCATGTCTCTCACTGGCGTGCGGCGGAAGTATTCGTCCATCCTTGATGGAATATCAGATAGAATAATCGAAGATGCCACAGCGGCCAGCGCTTCTCAAATTACAAGCGCACGGTAGAGTTCAAGCTGTTGCTTGTTTTCTATGGTTCGATGTTCAGTGGGAGCGTGCGGCGTACCACTGGAATAAGGGAATATGATAGGTTATCTGCCCTTCTTTTTAGGACAAGCAGGGAGATTCTCTACAACAGGGATTCAATTGTAAGTTGGACTTGTGCGTGACCCAAAAAAACTTTGCTCAAGACTGTCCAGGCAACGCCTCCAGGCCTTGCAGCTTTGCAGGAGCGACTTCTACTTGCTTAGTGCTCCTGCGGCCGGGGAAACGGTAACCGCATATGGCCTCTTTGAAGTGCTCGGCAGTTCCCAGCACCCGGAAATTGATAAAAGCGTAGCCGATTCCCTGCCGATGGCGCCGATTCATGGGGAGGTAGAAAAAGTTGTACATGCCCTTGAAGCCCAAGGAATCGACGGCACGGAGCACCTCATTTTCGTCGCAGCGGCACGGGATGTTCTTGATCATGACGGTGTGGACCGATGCCAAATCTCCTCTCTTCTCGTTCCGGGATGCCACTGTTGGTGAGTCTGTCATGCCGCTCTCTTGACTGCATGTGCTCATCATGCCCACTGTGCTCTGTTGGGTGATCTGCCTGTCGAATTCCGCATCCGGCGCATCGAGCCACTGGCAGTCTGTGCTCGCAGTGCTGTTGCTGATCTCGCGGGAGATTGGCTTTCCTGCTTCTTCTACGTCTTCACAGTCTTCACCTGAGCTGCAGCCCACAAGTCTCTTGCCTTTTGCTGCTCGATACCTGTAGCTCCGCTTCGTGCAGGAAGTTATAGGAAGTTAACATGCCCTAGAAGAGGCCGGACGCCAAATTCAGACTACAATCTCGCACTCGCTCCTTGCCAAAACACCAAAACAAAACCTGAACCGGGCTGTGCCGCGACTCTCTTTGCAAGTCTAGATGGAGCTCCTTGAGGAAGTCTGCCTTGCTTAGCCTTTCGTAAATTAAGGCCCGAGCACGCACCCTATACTTTAGCCAGGCCACCGCCTGGGGGCAGTCCAGTCGAACGAGGTGGAGCGCTCTGCGCCCGCCGGTGGGCCGGTTCCGTGTCGACGGCGTGGACACGCACCTCCACCCAAGGTCGGTATCTTTAGGCCCTGAAATGTTCAAGATCTAGTGCACTCTATTCACTCTATTCTTGCCAAAAGGCTGAGGCATAACACCTCAAGCAAACTTTCAAGGTGTTGGGACACCTCCTAAGATGGCACTTCTATGTAAAAGTAATGGCAAGAAGACCATTGGCCTTCCGGGTGGTTCGGGGTTAGGATACGGCAGTCTCAGGACAGCCTTTTGCAGACTGGAGCGGATGGCTGATATCGAGGGTTCCCCCACAAACCGCGAGTGAAACAAACGAAAGCTAGTCAACATAGCCAAACAATGCTCTGAACAGTTCGAGGATAGTCAATATCACGAGTATTCAGACGGCCGTGGCACATCCAGAAAGCCATTCCGAGTAGCCAGCTCTGCTGTGCCGTCGTAGAAAGACATTTGCAGCAGTTCCCAGGCCATGATGCTGCTAGTGTCCGTGGATCTGGATTGGGCGCCTGCTCGGCACGAACCTTGGACCTGTGAGCTTTGAGCACAAAAACTCGGCGTGCCCACTGCCATCCGAGAACTTCAGTTAGCGCCAAGGACGGGTTCGGATTCGAACAACCTACCAGGACCGATACCTGCCATATCCTTCTATATCTGAACCCCTGACATATGTACGACCCTGGCCCCTTGATATTCGACTTCCGCAAGCTGGAGACTGGAATCCTGGAAATCGGAAACGCCAACCTTTAAAGCGCAGCCTGAAGCCGGGAGCTCGTGGTAAACAGGCTATCTTGATGGTACCGAGTGAAACAGCAGGGCCGTGCTCCACGTGTCAGATCCGTGAACTGACACCGCGTCAAACCATGCAGTGCGCAGGTTTGAGGGCGACACTTCAAGGATGCAATCGAACTTCTAAGCAGAGATGTCTCCGAAGATTGCAACTCGGCTCTGCTTGGCCTTATCGAGATTCCCATGTATACCCTCTGACCCTAAAACCCAACGTGTCCATAGGCCTTACTCTGACCCTAGCCTGACATCATGTAAGCGCCTCTTCAGTAGGGAACGCGATTGCGTGGATCACCCTGGTTGTAGCTTGACAAAAAAACCTGGTACGAGGAAGATCCGTCAAGCACAGAACTGATTGTGTGATAGAATATGAGACTGTTGTCTGCACTTTGCACCGTCTCCAAATCAGATGATTCTGGCCGAGTCCTTTTCGGTAGCGGCACCATAATGCGCTGACGTGGCGGCCTTGACTCAATTGACGCGCAAACCTAACCTACCGTACCAACTGCTAAAGCCCATCCCCAAAAACCCTGTGTGACCAAGATCCAAAGCAAGTCTCCTGTGAGCCCTAAGGCCCCGAAAACGAAAGAGGGTAGCTATCCAGCTTCTGAAGCTTCTTCTTGAAAACCGTCGGTCTTTGAAGCTTGAACTTCAGGGCATGTCTTCACCCCCACCCACCCACCGCCAGGCATATGTTGAACAAGCACTAAGAAGTACAGCAAACCCAAACTCGTCGTGCAATCAGACTCTCTACTCTACCACCACTAACCTTCAACAGTGTAGCTGATGGCCGAGCGCTGTCAATTCAGTTCTCACGACTCGCACTTCGTCTCTCGGTTCGCAGGGCCAACGTCTTTGATAGCACATACGAGTACAAATGCACGCTAACAAGCCATGATGCCATCACGATGAGCCTAATCCAAGGATGAGTGTCCTCTTGTAGTTGAGCGGAACCCCTGCTAGTAGCACACTTTTTACCCGCCATTACATTCAGACCCTGCTAGGAAAGTGCTTCACTTTATCCCTGTTGACGAGACTTGCCCTGAACCCTAAACTTGTGCAGAACCTAGTCACTGGATCACTGTGCGGGTGGGCGACGGAGAACCAACCTTGGAAATATTTGGAAATGGCAAATCGGAGGCGGACAGAACGTGGGGTTTTGGCGGTGTTTTCAAGTTGTTGCTCGGAGCTAGCTCACTGACTCGACTGTGATTGCGAGTCTTCGCGATCGACATATGTGTATCTGGGGGGCTCAGCACAATAGGTTTTAGGTTTCGGAGTGCTCTCTTGTGTCGCACCGCACTGAGAGCCCCCGCAGTTCTGCAGAACTCTTGTCAACGGGACCGAATAACTAAACAGGCATCTCACACACAATGACCGCACGATACAGGACAGCATGTACCCCGTCAGAATGGCAGGCACTAAGTGTTCCCGAAGAAACAGCAGTAACAAACAGACCAAGCAAACTAAGAACTAGGTCATGTGCGCATAACTTGCTGGGTTGTCGTCTGCACCTTGCAACACAATAAACCTTCAGTGCAGTCTTCAGGGGAAAGTGAATTCATGGAAACTAGTTCGGCTCTACTCCAACCGCTCCGTTTCGCAGAACATTCACATCCTGAATTTCAGGATGCCCATGGGTACTTTAACCAACGATGCACTGGCCGTGTGGACCAAAAGGCATGGATGCGCACTACCGAACGACCGGATGCACCGGTGCCCTGGACGTAGTCATGCAGCAGGATGTCTCCGCACAGAGGAAGCTCGAATTTGCAAACAGCTTCGGGTCGAGGATCTGAATCGACACCGTCGGAACATCTAGTCAGAATTCGGCCTGCTCGAGGCCGAGACCAGTCGAGCCAAAGGAAACTCGCAGGGCCTGCGCTGTCCGCAGGTTTTCCATGGACGTGACAAAGCCCCTGTAGGTCTTGAGGGTTATACGGTTCTGCGGTCAGGAATCATACAGTAATTCATCGGACTAATTTGCCGGCAACTGGTATGCGAAGGGTTCTGTGCCGATTGCGGGATGGGTTTGCGTTTTCGTATGGACTGGCCAGAGGGTCAGGGACAAGCGGCTTGCTGAACACAAGAACAACCACAAACCTTGCCTTGGCCGCTAGCCTGAAATGTGAAAGTTGAACTCCTACGCATGTTGCCGAAACGAAAATTCCACGCCCGGAGTCTAAGGATCAAGCAACAACCGATACCTAGTTTAACCCAAACTCCAAGCCTGAAAACCCTTCTGCCCTTGCCTTACTTAAATCTCAAACCCACCTCGGAGATCGACCCCGGGCGACATTGGCCGCCTGAGTCTCAAAGAACCGACGGAAGCTGACATAGGAGTTTGCGCAACAGAGAACACACCGACGTACACCCGTCATGAATTATCGCTGTGTAAATGTGATATGACGATCACTAGCACTAGCACGGGTAATGTCATGTTGTGGGGCTTTGAAATTAATCCGGGGTGCTTGACTTTTTGTTTTGTGTTGGGGGGGGGGGGCGAAACAGCATACAATGCATCAAGTTGTTTTGCTAAAGTTGGCCTTTGATTTGGGGGTTGAGATCTTTGATCTGCAAAGAGAAGCAAACAGAAAACCAAGTTGCTTCGTACATCGTGCCTTTGAAATGGGGTTGAGGTGTTTGATCTTTCTCGAACGGCAAACAGAAAATCAAGTTGATTCGTACATCGTGCAGAGCCTCAGCAAGAAAACTCGTATGATTATTTCTTAGGGATCGAACAGCCAACAGAAAATCGACGAGTTTCGTAGATTGCGCCTTTGATTTCGACCGATTTATCTTTACCTTTGGATCGACGAAGAAAGCAACCTCCAAACACGAGTTGTTTTCTTTGGAACCTACTGCATCGACTCCTGCTGTTGCTGTTGTGTTTGTTGCTGTTGTCGTTGTTGTCGTTGTCGTTGTCGTCGTTGTCGTCGTTGTCGTCGTTGTCGTTGTCGTTGTCGTCGTTGTTGTTGTTGTTTTTTTGTTATTGGTGTTGGTGTTGATGTTGATTGTTGATTGTTGGTTGTTGGTAGTTGGTAGTTGGTTGTTGTGGTTGTTGTGCTTGTTCCGCATTAAACCCTGAACCGCATTAAGCCTCCACCCTAAGCCGCCTCAAATCCTATACCACTTATATAAGCCCTAAATCCCCGGACCCTGCTATCCTTAGCCCTAAACCGCCTTACAGCCCCAAGCCTTAAACCATGACCCATAAACCTTAGCACTAAGCCTCACACAGCTGTAGTTTAAATATAGCCCAGGGCCTTAAACCATAATCCATAACCCCGAACCCAGTAAGTTGGTGCTGAAAAGTACCACGTAAGTTCTTGCCGAAGTACCTGTGCTAAGTTAGGTTTTTGCCGCCGCTAGCGCTTTAGGCTTTTTGAAATTTAGGCATAAGCTTTTTTAAGCTTAGGATAAGCGGTGCTGAAAAAAGCACCGTGTGGGTGTTGCACAAGTACCCCATGTAGGGTTTTGATGTTTAGGCAGAGGGTACTTAGAAGTTTAGGCATAGTTTTTCAGTCGCAGGATAAACGGTGCTGTCCACGGCAGTCTAAGCTTCGGCTGCTGGTACAACACTGGTTAAGAAATTGGTTTTCAGAGGCTTCAGTAGCAGAACCCGAACCTTCTAAAGCGCTGAGTATCACGCTTGATCCAACGTTAGCCTTAACCACGAGCCGCGCGATCGAAAGGGTGTGCACTTTTTAAGCGACCGAGTTTTCGCTAATCGCTCTCCTAGTATTGATAAAAGAACCCACCAAAAAGAACAACGCTCAAAGGCGATCTGGGGACTAGGGTGTCTCGTCTCTGGGAGTTATCGTGCGATTTCGGATTGAAATGTGTTGGGCCGGACTCCACCTGGCATTCCGAGAGGGTACTGCAGTGTGGCTGCTCCGTGCTATGGTTCTGTGCGAGGTGCCTGTCATAAAGGAGCTCAGCATAGTTTTCCAAGAAAGAAGAGGACCACAGTCAATAAAACTTCCCAAGCTGAAACACGGATGTAAGGTTGCGGGTTTAGGGTTCCTGTCTGTGTAAGACTGTTTAATGACTATATAGCCAGTACAGTGTCGCAGCTGTCCTTGAAATCTTGCTTCTGTCTGCTGCAGACGCTCTTTTCGACTGTTTTCCAGCAGCAGGCTCACTTGGTCTCGTCCATTTGAGACATCAAGTGCCTCCAACCATCTCACAAACGACCGACTTCAACTCAGCAGTCGCGATGTACCAACTGCCTAACGATGCTGTGGCAACCCAATGCCGCACACACTAGGGCTCAATTTTCTTAGCTTTGGGCTGAACGGATTTCCACCTATGCGATTCTCTGGAAGATATGGATACCCATCTCAGAGGACGCCAAATCACCTGCAGCGCAGCAGTTCGACCCTTGCCAAGGCCAAGGTTTGTTTAGGCGGGTGTTGAAGTCGACTTGCACGAGGTTTCAATTGCCACAATGCCCTCAAGCAGGCCCCTTTCAATCCATGAAGGCGAGAACCTGGTGGAAAACATCATCCCTGCAGCTGACTTTGGGTCTCCCTCTCGCAATAGCTTCTCCGTGCAGGCGGCACAAGGCTTTGAGCATTGCAACACCGCCCCACTTGCACAAAGCAAACACCATAAATCATAATGTCAACCACACCAGCGCTTTTTCAAGATTCCGTTTTGTGGCTACGGCTTAAAAGATTCCGGCTCATGGGGAATGTGCTTGCAGGCAGGGTGTTTTGCACCAAAAAGATCTCAGAGTTACAAACCATCTTACGTGAACTACATTCAACAATAAACGGGCCCTGATCTGAATAAAGACTCACCTCGAGATCGAAGCGAAAGCTGAAAGATTTGACTATGATCTTACAGAAGGTCCCGTAGCATTTGTACCATACAAGATCCGAGATAAACAAACAGCTCCTTTCGCTCGACATCACATGAAAAGCGAGGCCAACTGTTAAGGCACATTGTGGCATATATACGGCACTGTGCTCAAACTTCTTGTGCCCCTTCGTCTTGAGTTGGATCCCAGGGCACGCTTGCACTTCCGGCTTCTCTAGGGATCTGCACAGCTGTTGTGCTCAGTATCCCGACCGCTCGTAGATCCATGTCGAGTTAACATGTTGGACTGCCATGTTGCGAACACCACCCTAGACGCAACCGCAACCCCTTAAAAGCGCTCCACTCTCGAAGACCACGAAACCAGAAGACATGAACGAATCGGACCCATGCCATAGAGCTCAAAACTGCAAAGCACTGGTCAAGAAGCATAAGGCGCAAACAGCCCTAAACACCTTTGCTGTGCAGCCAACGTGCTCCATTGCCCTGGCTGAAGGTTCTTTGCTGCCTTCAGGGCGTAGATGAGCCACACGCTGTGCAAGCTAGGATTGCATGACAGGGCAGGCACGCTACATCACGCTGCCACCGTTGCGGCATGCACGGTACAGTCCAGAATGCATACATTTTCAAACCTAATGCATTACCACCACGGCTGAGTTCTTCATGTTTACAAGTGCGCCGCGGCGCCACCGAAAACAACTTTTGAATCGATTCTAACCATCCTAAATTAGGATAAAGGGTCTTTACAGTGCAGGCTGCCGCCGACATCCTTCTTACAATCCACTTAGACTTACACCGCAAGCCTGGGCCGTGCTGGGCGCTTGAATCTCATGATCTAAACCCAGCCTGACAGCCCTAGAAGCCTCGGCCGGGAAACAGAGGCCCCCAAAGTCCCCAACGTCCAAAAGGTCGATGCAAGACCCCGACCCCCACTGATCAACCCATCAAAGAGAATCTAGCCCAAGGTCCTCTGCCCCTTCAAGCCCCCGGGGCAGAAAACTTCGTAAAATGTGCGGCCCCAGGAAATCACCAAAAGAACCAAACAAGACCGAAACTAACATGTACACTCCTGAAATGCCTCGGACAAAGCTGGACCGAATCGATTCTTGAGCTCGTCCGGCTGTAGCCACCCGAGGTCGCCAATCCTTTAAGGCTTCAGGCTTCAGGGCACAGCAGTGCTGTAGGGCTCCCGTGATATAGGGTAAGATCCTCGGGATGATCAACCGTTACGAAATTGATTGCCCCTATTTCTCGTGGAGTGAAACCGGTTTTTTGGCTTATTGGATGCGCCGATGTCAGTACTTCAAGGTGTTTGGAGCTGTCTAGGGTCACATGTTGCTGCCGAGGGTTTAGAATGCGATCTAGTGTTGTTTCGCCACTCGCCTTTGCCGGGTTTAAGATTGAGTCAGTGTTTGGAGCTTCGGGATGTTTGTGCAAGTAGCTTGGTGTTCAGAGATGAGGAGTTGCTGATGAGCTCCTTCCTAAGGCCAGCTGGATTGCTTCTGTTGGGGTGGCGATGGGGATTTCTCATGCGCGCCTTGCAAGTCTAGAAACTGAGGTGCAAGGGTTCGAACGTTGGGTATGCATGTATGTATCTATGTATGTATCTATGTATTTACGTAAGTAAGTAAACAAGTAAACAAGTAAGTAAGTAAGTAGGTATGTATGCCTACCGACCGATCGACCGACATACCTACCTACCTACCTACCTACCTACCTACCTATCTAACGTATCTATGTATCTATCTATCCACCTATCTGTCGGTACATACAACTAAAGGAGGGATATGTGTAGGTACCTTATGTATACACAAACAATGCAGAAGTGCAGGCATCAATGCATACATACATACATACATACATACATACATACATGCATGCATGCATACATACATACATACATACATGCAGACATACACACATACGGACGGACGGACGGACAGACATATATACATAATTACAGTATTACCATCCACGCATGCAGGCATGCATACATACATGGTCATACATGTGTGCGTGTGCTTACGCATATGCATAGAGATCCTAAGCACAAAACACAAACACCTGTACCTGATATCTCAAGCCCGTCAGCCCTCAGCTTCCCCAGTCGGGACTAGCCCCGTGCACTCCCATCCCAAAGTCGGAAGCCGCAAATCATCAGACGACACCATCCTACACGTTCCCAGCTTTGGAATTAACGAGCTCCGACTACATGTTTGTGACGGCACAGGGGAAGAAGAGTTTTACTCTGAAGTCCCCAAACCCCGCATGTAGGCCAGAAGCAACCCTGATAGTAAGGACCCCTTCGACAGGGACCCCAATCAGCCCCGGACATGCCACCACCCTTCTGTGCGGTCGTGCACTCAGAGAGGTCCTGCAACAAACAGGTTTCCGTCGGGCTTTTGCAGGGCTTCGGGCTTGACAGACAACTCTTGCCGACAGTACATTGGACATGCTTCCCAGGTCTTCAAGTGACGGCTTGCCTGCGCCGCCACTGTTCCAGCTTGAAATCTTACGCAGTTTCGAGCCCCACACAGGTGGGGCCATGATTCATGACATACGCATTTCCTCTCCCGAAACCCAAAGCTGCTGAGGCGAGCAAGGCATCTATGGATTCTAGCGGCGAGTTGAAGCAGCGATATTCTTTCCAGCAATAACGACCCACTTGGCAAATCCAGAAAGCCCCACAGCGCCTAGGCCAGTGTTCCGCACGAATCCCCACGCACCTTGCGGAATATCCCACTGCATGCACGATCACTTTTTTGGGTTGACTCGCTCACAAAAGCTCGTCCTAGAGCCGGAGGCTGAAGTAATCCGCGGTCGGGGCTCTCACAGCACCGGACACCTTAAACAAACCGCGCGGCATCGCGGAGTGGCTCCTAGGTCGCAGTTCTGCACCCAGGGTCTCTACACCACCCAAGGGCCACGGCCGAAGAGGTGGACCGGGGTGTGGTGCACGAAGTGCCAAATGAGGATGCCGATCCAACGGTCGCGACACTCGTCGATCTTGGTGGTCTCGATGATCTCCTTCTGCAGGGCTGCCGGGATCCACCAGTTCACCATGTAGCCAGAGCCCTTGTTCTCGTTGGCTCCAGCGACGAAGCAGGCATCGTGAGGGCCCAGGCTCGTGGCGAACATGCCGGCGCCCCAGGGCCACCAGGTCTTCACGAGGTTCTTCTGGTTCTTCGCCAAGCGCATGACGTTCAGGCAGGCGTGGTAGGCCTGCTCCTCGCCGGGATAAGAGATCTTCGGGACGGGTGGCATCTCCCATTTCCCGGGCTCCCCAATGCAACCGTAGTTGCAGTCGCCAACCGCGAAGATGGAGCCATCAGCCCAAACACCGCCACCCTCGGAGGGCTTCACCGTGACCTGCAGGTGCTTGTTGAAGTGGATCCACCCACCTCCACCAGGGCCCTTGTCGGACAAGGTGTTCTTGGGCATGAAGTAGTTAGAGGCCTTCACGCCGATGCAAACGTATGTCTCGTCAGCTCCGTTCGGCAGCTCGATCTTCTTCCAGAAGTCCGGGTTCTTCGGGTCATAACCGCAGCTGTAGAATTCCTTGATGCCGCAGGCGTTCATGTACTCCGAGCAGTAGTTGGCAGCGCTGTCCGGCAAAGGTCCCAAGCAACGAGGCAAGAAGTCGATGATCGTTAGCTTGACATCTGGGAAGAAGTGCTCGATCTCCGTGGCCCACTCAACGCCGATGAAGCCGGCTCCAACGATGAGAACCGTGGCCTTCTTCTTGTTCAGGTCCTGGAGCTTGTGGTACTCCTCCAGAACGTGACGGCGGCGTCCCTCCAGGAAGCGCTCGTCGATGTGCTTCCAGTCGCTGACGGCCCGTCCCTCTTCATGCACGGTCGGGAACCAAAGGCTCTCACCCATGGGCTTGAAGGGCCCGAAGTTGCAGCCTGAGCAGATGATGCAATAGTCGAAGCCAATCTCATCCATGTTGTTCGAGAACATGGTCTTCACGATGGCGGTCTTCCTGTCACCATTGAGCTCTTTGACTTCTCCCCAGATGAACTTCACGCCCATCTTTCGCTCGTACACTGGCTGCAAGGTGAAGGTCAAGGAGTCCAAGTGAGCAGGCCTCACAAAGGCCCGGAGAACCCCAGGGGTGTACTCGAAGTACTCCTTCGCATCAATCACCGTGACATAGAACTGCTTCTTCAGCTCCCTTGCGCAAAAATTCCCTGTGAACTGGCCGCCGATGAGGAGGCAGCGAGGCTTGGCACCCGGCATTGTCGGAACAGCACGGAAGGTGCGGGGAATGCTCACGCTCTAGTCAAACACGTGGCGCCGATATGGCTACGTCGTAGATTCAAGGCTCTGGATTCTGCACATGAGGTGCGGAGGCATCGGATTACAACCTTAGTGGTGGTGGTTCTCGGGGCTATAGGGCGAGGAGTTCCCAGAGAGTCTCAGCAATAATGCCGATTCAAACGGCAGGTCTTCTGAGAAAGGCGAAAGCGCCCTAGGCTGTAGATGCTTTCTTTCGGATCGTTCTCTCGGAAACACAGGAATGTACGCTCGCACTTGGGATGCAAGGGCCATTGGACACGAGGGCTCTTCGAGAACCGCTGAAAGAGCCAACAGCATGTTCTCCAGCGGACGGCCACTTGTCTCGACAGTGGTTTGGCTCATCCAGCTTCTTTCTAAGCAGGTCTTACCCCAGACGGACTGGATACACTAGATCCGAAAAGAACATGCCGCGGTGGCCCGTGTCCTAGTCAAGTCTCCGAACCACATACAGAGTCCAACACCCAAAGCTCTCAACACCAACAGGCTCCAAAACAGCCTAATTCCCCAAGTCCAAAAGATAAAAGCTTTTCTATAGTCCTTGCGCCCGCCTCGGGTGACCCCAACGCCCCCACATTAAACCCTGGTCCTTGCAGAGTGAAGTGAACTTTGGACTTGGCTGCAGCGCCGCCGTGCTTGCCTGGCATGCAGGAGGAGTTTTAAGATAGGTCTTCTCTGGTAGTTTCGACTGGCAAACTCGCACGCCTCAGGCACAGATCTGGCTAACTCCACTCAGCTTGCTACTCTGACATGTGTGAGCTCATTGTTGTAGCAGCAAACAAAACCAGAGATACCCAACAAGGGGTTTCGACTCTCACACTCGCACCAGGCAGGCAAGGCCGGCAAGGGCTTTAGGGCTCCAGGGTTTTTGATGCTCACTTTAGGGTTTTAGGGTCTAGAGAGCTTGTCGTTGACAATGGGCGTATGGGCTGGTGCTATTGGGGATAGAGTGTGCCTTGTTCGGGGTTCCTGACGATTTCGACATTCTGACCGATTGACGGCTCGGGGTCTTCATGGACGGCGGCCACAGGATTCAGCCTTGAAAGCTCTCAGGCTTGCGGCCCTTTGTACATGGGGATGCAGAAAAGCGGGCTTACCCAGCATGAAATAGCAGAGCTATGTATGAATGTATGACCGCAAGCTCCCATTTCCAAACACGCACCCTGATGTCTAAACCTCTGTGCCTCTCCATAAACCCCGGGGTGAAGCTCAATGTTCAAGATCCCCAAAAACGCTGGCTCTTCAACTCTGAAATGAAACTCCTTAGTTGGAAAGCCATTTGCAATTTATCAGGCCTTCTTCCCTGCCGGCAGCTTCATGGTCTTTGCCTGGTCCCAACCCTAAATCCTAAATCCTGACACTTCAAGGAGTAAAACCAAGGCTCCCAGCAGGTTCGTGCATCAAATACACATATGTAACTTTCATTTTGGAAGGCACTGATCTGGGTGGCGGCTGCGGAGGGTTCTAGATTCGGTCGGGTTTAGGATCCAAGAAATATCTGATGATTCCCAGGCTAGGCTTTTGGTCCGTTCAAGGCTGCTTCGACTGCAATAGGGCTTTGCATCAACACCAGCGGAGTAGTAAACTTTATTTTCGGACTTCAATGTTGGAGAAGCCGGACTGAGCGGGGTCGAAGCGGGACTCCCCGGTCCTAGGTAGCAGTTTCGTTTAGTATATACGCTCTCGCTACTCGAACACTGCCAGACAAGCTCGCTCGGGTCGGTATGTGACTGCTGTGCAGGAAGGCTCAAGCCGGAGTGTCTGCAGATGGCAACAACCAGTACAAGGCAACGTTGCACAGAGGTAAAATTATTCACAACGTCATAGCAAAGAGAAATATGCGACTCATGTAAATGGTCTAGGACACTCCGAGACTGCGACGACCAGAAAAAGGTTCAACTTAGAGTTCAATAAGTTTTGCGGTGAAAGCGGAGATTTGTCAGCTGATAGGCTCTTAAATTTACAGAAAGGACTGTTGTGAGGT